TTGGAAAGAATTTGAAATGGTCTATAATTCACTTCAAATATCCATATCATATCTCAGTTTCTGGTTTGTTTTTATATAATGATATATCTTCACATGTGTCTACATATCTCCTAATAACCCTGGTTAAAATATAATTTCCTCAAAGAGAAGACAAGTATTATATTTTTTGTTGAAAATATCTTGATAGAAATTATCATCACAGTATCTTGGGGCAAAACCCCATCTCAATGAGGTAGAAAAATTTATGACAGGGTAAGAAGTTTTTGAAAGAAAAATGTGAGCACCAACAATTGACTTTTCCCAAGTCATTAATCCATTAAGCTATTCATCTGTGCTTTTTGTTCATTGGTTATTGTAGAGGACCCATTATTGACCATACTGCATGTTAGATATACATGTAGGGACATAATGTGTGTAGGACGTAGTCCATGAATGTAATACATTCCCATTTCAGAGGGGGAGATATACTTGCTCTCAGGCAGTTGTTTGCATAGTTCTATGAGGAATGCTTTAAGAGATGCCTGCGCAGGTACACAAGAAGATCCCGAAAGATGAGCGATAATCCCCTGGTTGTTATCAGTAAGGTATAAAATTTTAAAAATAGCTGATATTTCAGTTAAATCTTCCAATAGGTATAGTTACTTATCAGAAAAAAAAATTGCACTGGGATAATCTTGGCTGTAGTTTTATTAAATATTATATGATCAGAATAATGAAATTCACTTTAATTAATTTTTATGGGCAGTTTTTGTCTTCTTACTATTCTGATACATTTGGAAATAAATCAGAATAATGTAATTATTGAAATGAAATGAAAGACACTATATTGTTAAAGCTAAAATATAATAACTAACATTATTGAGGAGCTTACTATGTACTGAGCATGACATCAAATGTTCTACATACAAGCATCTCATTAAGCTGGTCCAAGATAATATGAGAGGCAATAGTAATTCCTATTTTATAGATGAGGAAATTAAAGCTCAGAAAGGTAAGTACCTTTCCCAGAGTTACATCTGATTGAGACTCAAATCAGGGCTTTCTGATTTTTAAATGTATGTTCCTAACAGTTATGACATACTACATTTCCCTATTACCCAGTGCAGCATTACTCAGAGTGTGAATCACTGAGCAGCAGTAGCAGCATTAGCTAGGAATATGTTAGAACTGAAGAATCAAAGGTTCCACCCCAGATCGTCAGAAAAAGAATCTGGATTTAACCCAGATCCTAGGTTGTTCATATGCATAATAATGTTTGTGAAACATTGATTTAGTCTACTCCCTACTACTATAAACGCAACACAAATTATTGTTTGCCTCCTGCTTAGAGGGCAAGAAAACTATTTTATGTGGTAGTTTCTTTCACTTGCTAACTTGCTAAGGAAAGCTGTCTCCCTCTAGCAGAAACAAGATGCCCTCCCTGTAGTGAGTATACTTTCCTTTTGGCAATGGGACATGCATTCCACAGCTCTTTCATGTGTCAAATCTTCACCTATGTGGGCTCAAATGTGAATACATAGAAGCTCTTTTATTCTTCATGTTCATCTAATTACCTCAATTTCTTTTATTTTAATGATGTCATGTGTACCCCTCATCTTTGTGGTTCCTCATTTATGGGACAGTTGTAACTCAACATTGTCCCTCTTAAAAAAAAAAATCCTGTGCAATGAACCAACTAATGCAGATGTGCTCTCCCTGAGGGCAAATACAGTTAAACAACCACTTTCTGTGATGTGAATATAACACCAACATCTACAGCATCTCATTAAGCCAGTGATCAGCTCAAATGCCAGATGCTATTCCCAGACACCAAAACAAATCATCTCCATGTTATCTCTATTTATGGCCAGATTTGGGGAAGAAGACCCAATGCATACCCCTTCACATTTTGCCAGGGTGTAGGAAATCTTATAACTGAAAGTCAGTCTTTCTTGAAAACTCCAGTAATTTTCTTCTCTGACAGCTTCAGACATTTGGACATTCACTGAGTAATTACAAATTTTCATTGTGAGTCATTTAGGCAGGACTCAGGATTCATAAATGTAGGAAAGATCTACCTTTCACATGTCCTTTAAAAAATGTTAGCTGAGCCTCTAGGCCCTGGAGAAGCAAGCATGAGTAAGTAAGAGGCCTTGCTTATGGGAGGTCACAAACTGGAGAAAGAGAAACAGGTAAGTAAGAAGATTACCATCATAGAAAGATTATGCACAGTTCTAAGGGGAATAAATGATGAATTGCCTAGGGGAGGAGAAAGAGGCTTCACAGAGAAATGGCATTTGAGCTGTCATATAAGGATGATTTTGCTAGTGAAAGAAAATAGAAGCCATTCCAGGTAGAGGACCAGGTTGTGAATAGGCAGAGAAAAAATAACATTATGATAGAATATTTAGAGAATGGTGAAGAGTCTAGTAAGTTGGATTTAATAGAAGGGAGAGTAAAAGCTACAGACAATTTCTTGCCAAGTAATATTTTAAGGAGTCCTTGTACAGTAGACCATGTATTGGGAATTGTATTCTTTACACACAGGGGAGTCACAAAAGCTTCTTTTTAAATAGAGGATATTACAATCCCATTTATGATTGGAAGTAAAACTCTGCTGGTAAGTTGGACAATAGATTTGAAAGGGAGAGAAACTGAAAGTTGAAAAGGGCTCGCTGGAGTTTGGAACCATAGTCCATAAAAGAGTTGGTGAAAGTGCTGTCTGATCAATGCTTGTAAAATGTATCATCCAGATATAAATGGCCAAAACACATTAACAATAAGAAAAGCCTTGCCAACACAGCTGTTTGACTCCTAAACAAAACAAATGCTTAAAGCTCCTGGAAATTATAATAGAATTAATTTCAGCTCCCTAACGGTAGGGGAAAATCCTCAAGCACATTTTCTGCTGAGCATTTCACTGGATGAATGAACCAGAAAGCCTGGGTACATATTGTTAATGAAATGTATAAATATTCTACCCATTCAGAAGAAATCTGTACTGTAAATCCAAGGATGGAAAAAAACAGCTTTGAGAATAAACACTAAACGAGAGGAAAGTCAGATCATATTCAGAAAGAAATATAAACACATAAACTCCTGTGTATTATAACCAAGCAATCACTTAACCAGCAGGGAGTGAAAGTTTATAAACCCAACCATCTCACTGGGGTTTTTAAGGATTCTAAATGCAATTCAAATTAGTTTACAATTTTCAATATGTTTTCCCACCCAGTGTCTCATTTAATCCACACACCTGTAAAAGATTGCTGCTATTGTCCACATTTAACAGGATGAGAAAAATTTAGGTTCTGAAAAGTTGAATAACTTATTTACTTTTCAAGTCTCTGTGGTACAACAAAGACTGAAACAAAGGCTTCCCTTAGTGTAAACCACAGGAATTGCCAATTATTAGGTTAAAATGTTTAAATATTGGTAACATTGTATGGTTCAACCTAATAGATTCCAAGTACAGTGCTCTAAGATTATCAATCAACATATAATTTTATTCTGGTTCCATGATTGCAAAGGCAAGTTAATTCAAAATGTCAAATGAAATGTCAAGTAAAATGGTTCTAGATCTCATTGCAGCTGCTCAGGATACTGGTTCATATTTGTCACTGAAATGCATATTAAACTGAAAGAATATATATTTACAAACCTTCCTTTCTCTTATTTTTCTGAGTGTCCATGAATATTCTCATTACTCATAGATTATCATGTCTATAATATTGTAGTTTAAAAGATAGTATGTTAAAGTCATATTATGTGTGATAACATATACATAACTATTTGTACATGTAAAGCACATATAACTATTCTATGCTTTGTTCCAGTTCAAAATATCCTTTTTATTAACATGTAGCATTTTATGAGCTACATTTTACTTCCAGCTTTCTGAAAATTTAAAAAAAAAAAAAAAAGACGTTCAGTAATATAATTGTAAAGATGAGCCTGGGCCCTATAAATCATGACAGCTTATGAAAAAAAAGTGATATAAGATCCCTTGCATGGGGGACCCAACCAAGAGCTCTTTGAATCATGCCCTTCTGCTTATAAGGTGAAGGCCACAGATTTCTAAGGACCTTAACTTTGTTATTTGCATCTAATTGAAAGATGTGCCTACAACGAGTACAAAGAATTCTCATTATCTGAACTTCCATCTCAGCCCTTGAGGAAGTTTGCTCCACTAGTGACCTTTAACTGGTTTGTTTCCTCAGCACACTTTCTAGTGGCTGCATATGGTGACCAAAGCTATCCACATGAGCATACAGTCTTTGCAAAGAATTTAAGTAAACCCAAGCCAGTATCCACTGGATATGTGCATTTACAGCATCAGCCAAACATCAATCAGATGCAAAAGGCAAAGCAACCCATCTTGAAACAATTCTGAACATCAAGAGGGAGTGTATTTATGTTGAACTGTAATATGGCATCGGTAATTAATAGGCCTTTGGTTTCCAAAAATTTCAAATAAAAATGCCTCTTCCTCTTTCACCTGGCATCAGGTATTCTACACTGGTCTTATCCCCCCAGACTAAAATCTGCACCAGTTCTATCATCTGTTCCTTATATGATATAATGTGAATTCCTTCAATAACCTGACATTTTCCTCTGATATTCCCATGTGATTTTAAACGTAGCAATCAGGAATGACTTCCTTCTCACTTAAAGTAATAACCAAACTATGTTGCTCTCCCACTTAAAAGCCAAAATTATTTTTGAGTCACCTTCAGAATAAAGGATGAAATCTTGTCTGTCACATTTAATGCCTATGATGTTCTATGTGCCAATCTCTTGTCTGACTCACTCATAGCACCCCTTGACACTGCACCTCTGCAGAAAAGCCTTTTTTTCTTGCTGCTTCTGGCTTTCCACAGGCTGTGTTTTTCCCTTTTCTCATATACAAGCCCTAGAAAACTCAATTCAGGTCACCTCTTTGAATAAGTCTTTCTTTATTGGCCGAGGGTCAGGTAGGGGCTGTTCCAGTGTGTTTCACCCTCTCCACTCCTGCTACTTACCATACAGTAATGCATTTGGAAGTTTCTTTCTCTGTCTTCCTCCCAAACATGCACAAATGGATTATGACTCTGAGGGTGGGCACTGTCTCTTCGTCTCTTGTTCCTTTTTTCCTATATCATTCCTGATAGAACAAAAGCCTGCATTAAGTAAACAGCTTAAAACTAACACAACTTAGCAGTTGGGGAGTGACAAAGACTACATACATAGGGCAGACTTTAATGAGCTGTAGACGGTAAATACTTGGATCTTAAAATGGTTCTCCGATTGATTAACAATCCCAGTCTACTGGGCCAACTCACTCACCAGGTTGGACATGGGTAACTCTCTTGCAAAAAAAAATGCTTAAACACCCAAAAGGTGATTTTTGTTAGGAGTTACTGCTCAGAGAGGAGATGTGTTATGGTTCCATGACTAGAGAGTTGTCATTTCCCATCTCTGAGCTCCCAAACAGTCCTAGTCCTTACTACTAACACACACACACACACACACACACAAATTCAAAGCCATGCTTAAAACTGGAAGAAATAAAGCTATGTTGAAAGTAGGCAAATTCTATTCTGCTTTCTTCTCCTTTTTTTTTTTTTACCTGACAATGTCAGGGTGATCTTAACTCCCAGGATTTTAAACAGTTTGAATGCACTTCTTGAATCCCCAGCCAACAAGATAAAACGCGAGACTTCAGGTCAGGATGAAAATGGTTATTCTCTGAATAGGATTAGGGTGGCTTCCAGTGAGATGGCCACTTGATTATGGAACAACCAAGTCAGAGAAAGTGTGTTTAGATGAACTTCAAGAAACAGAGGAAACTAAAAGCTCCTTTATTCTGAACCAAAGGACAACAACAGAAGCCATCCCTAAAAGGTGAAAAGATTTATAAATAAGCATATAGTAGCCCTGTGCAGAATCTCTAATATTTTCTAGCCCCACTTCCCTACCTAAATACTAATTCGTCATGGAATTCAAAATCCTTCATAAACTGGCCCCTTCTTAACTCCAAGTCAACTGATGTAGGTGTGATTTTAAAATGTAAGGATATGTAGATCCACACCCAGAGATTCTATTTTAATTGGTCTCAAATGGGACTTGGGCATGGACATTTTTTAAAGCTCCTAGGTGACTCTAATGCTTTTCCAACATGAGAGATTATGCCACAGCCTCAGCTCAACTCTGTCTTTTGCTAGTACCATAAATAGCAGTGTTTTTAATGTAGCATTTAGATGTGATATTTATCTTTATTAAACGGTTTGCTTGAATGTGAATGACACTTGTGTCTGTCAGCTGATACTGGCTCTATATTAATTGGTGCTTTAAGTCACTGGGTAGCCTCAATAAATAATAAATAATAATAATTATAGACAATGTTTATTGATGTCCTGTTCTAAGCACTTTAAAAGTAATAATTCATTTAGTCCTTAAAATAAGCTGACTTAACTACTCTTATCATCTCATTTACATTTTACAGATAAGGAAACAGAGGCTCAGAAAAGTTGGAATAATTGACTTATGACCACAGAGTTAATAAAAGAGAAGATGATGTCCTGTGAAAACCAGCAATTCACATTGACACTTGTTCAGAATGATTTGATAAGCACTCAGTACAGTAGGAGATAGAAAGGCAGGTCCAAGACTGTGGGCATTGGCGTTAACAAACCTGGTTTAAACTTGACTCTGTGGCTTACCAGCTGTGTTATCTTCCATAAAATATCTCAACTCTTTGACCTTCAGTTTCCTTATTTGTTTAAATGGGGATTTCAATGGTTTCAACCTCACGGTGAGTTTACTAAGACCCTAAATACCTAAATAACTTAGCAATAGAGACTGATAGACTTTAATGGCAGAAGAAGAATTAAAACCTAGACATTTTGATTTATAATTTCATTTCCTTTTTAGCATAGTATCTGTTATTTGAGAGCCAGGTTAGAAGTACCTTTAGTACTTAAGTAAAAAACAAATATTTTCTAACTGTGTGAACTTAAGACCCAGTACAAACAACACACCAATTATCTGTATGTGGTTAGCTTAGGTGCTTAAACTTGTTAATGAGTTAACTAAAAACTCGACGGGGATCCTCTTTGTTAGTACTTTTTTTCCCCCTTTTTTTTTGGGAAAAGCACATGGAGCCTGCCAATGACCTATTAATCTTCAGATCCTGACATGAGATTTTGCAGTTTTAAGGCCAAGAACACCTCTAGGGTCAGATAGGTGTTTCTTCCTGCTTTACACTGCATGCCACTACATAAGGATGTGAGTCATTACCTGGACTAGGAAGAGACCCCATTCTAGCTTCTGTGCTTTCTGATTGACCCCCTTTCTGCATTATAAGCACTTGGTCTTCATTATGTTCTGGAAAGCAATGAACCACAGACAGTACAAGGAGCCTTATAAAGGGGACATATGGTTTATGTGTAACCTCATCTATAGCTCCATTCACCTGCAGGGCATCTGCTCTGAAACTACAGTGTGTAGCCAAATAGTAATTTAATATAAAAGCCAAAACCAATTATCTTATTTTATTAAGCTTGGGACATTTCACTTTTGTCTGAATGAGATAATTTGGCATTCAGTACTTCAGTGTGCTAGTAGAACTTGGTCTTATTGAAAATAAATTGAAATTCTATTTTTCTGTATTATACAAAACATGCTGCTCTTCATTGAGGCAACCTGCCATTGATTTTCTAACTATGTTTTCAATATATCCAATTCATGATCTGAAAATTAAAATAATATTTACCTTATGAAGAATTTACATATCTATTGATAGCTAATATAATTATCTCTAATCCTAGTACAGGTGCTATTCTGGATGGTCCTTCAATTGTCACAGAAAATCCATGAGATAGCATAATCATCCTCATTTTCAGAGAAGTAATCTAAGCAGGGGAGGGAAAAAAAGTTGCCTAACTCACACAGCTAAAATTCCTTTAACCACTGGACTACTTTAGCTTTCTCATAATGGTCTCGCTGTCGATATGAAACATAAACTATTTCTTTATCATTTGTATTTCAGACAGATAGAGTCAATACAATTGGTATGGACTTGTTAGGTTATCTGAGATGTTAACGAGTTTGGGGATGCTCATAAGTGATTGACATGAGCGTGCCAACTGGAAATAACCAACTTCTTGGAAATAATCATTGAGTAAATGATGAAGCCAGAATTCTAGTACCCCAGATCAGGACACTGCTATTTAGGCTTTGCTGAAAACATGCTTTGCCACGAGACATTCACTTAAACCCACAGATTTTTCTTCCTATATCAGATACAGAAAATAATCCCTGTCATTCATATCTTCAGAGGTGTGAAAGACCAGTTGAAATATTTACTGTTTTTTCAAGATGTGTTTTGTGGGGCTCTGGAATTGCAGAAGGGGTCTGAGAGCAGACAGTGCCTTGCCTACAATCTCTCTGCTCCAACCAGTACAGTGACGCTTCTATTTCTTTAACATTAAAAATAATTGTTTTGAAGCCAAAGAATAAGCTTCAAAACAATTGAGATGGTGCTTGTGAAAACATGCTTTATGGTGTACAATAAGTAATGGATATCTTTTTTACTCCTAAGTGTTAGCATAAAATGTGATCCAGGTTTTCATTCATAGAGAAGCATTAATGTCGTAGAAAAAGCACTGATTTTGATATGACAGAGAATGCTGCTAGGCTTCTGTGAAACAGAACGAATATATGTCTTATATATTATATCATCATCACTATTATTATAAGAAATTGGCTCATGTGATTAGGGAGGCTAAAAAGTCCCAAGATCTGTAGGCTTGAGACTTAAAAAATGTGGATGTTTCAGTTCAAGTTAGAAAACAGGAAATATCTGATGTAGTCTGACAAGAGGGTTTCCATTTTTTTAGAGATGGGATCGTGCTATGTTGCCCAGGCAGGAATTGAACTCCTGGGCTCCACAAGTAATCCTCCTGTCTCACCCTCCCCAGTGCTTGAACTAAAATACACTGGGCTCCAAAGGGCCTTCTTACTTATGGGAGGGTGATATAATTTGGACATTTGTCCTCTTTGAATCTCATGTTGAATTTTGATCCCCAACATTGGAAGTGGGGCCCAGTGGAAGCTGTTTGGATCATGGATCAGATCCTTCATGCACAGCTTTGTGCTGAGTTCTCACGCTATTAGTTCCTATGATAACTGATGGTTAAAAAGAGCCTAGCACCTTCCTCTTCTCTCCTTCTTTCTGCCTCTCTCACCATGCGACATGCCTTCCCCTTCCCTGTGTCCTCTGCTGCCATGACTGGAAGCTTCCTGAGGTCCCTTTCCGGAAGCAGATGCTTGTGTCATGTTTCCTGCACACCCTGCAGAACAGCCAAATAAACAGTCTCACATATTTATTTTTTTCTTCTCAGCACCACATATTGGATTTATATATGTAAATAAATAAATTGCTATTTGTATTCACCTAGGAAAAGCCCTGTATATGCAAATTATAAACTAGAAATTACATATGTATATATATATATATATATATATATATATATATATAATTGTACTTTAGGTTCTGGGGTACATTTGCAGAGCATGCAGGATTGTTGCATAGGTACCTATGTGGCAATGTGGTTTGCTGCCTCCATCCCCCTGTCACCTATATCTGGCATTTCTCCCCATGTTATCCCTCCCCAACCTCCCTACCCCCTGCTATCCCTCCCCTAGTCCCCCCAACAGACCGCAGTATGTGATGCCCCCCTCCCTGTGTCCATGTGTTCTCATTGTTCAATACCTGCCTATGAGTGAGAACAAGTGGTGTTTGATTTTCTGTTCTTGTGTCAGTTTGCTGAGAATGATGGTTTACAGATTCATCCATGTCCCTACAAAACACACAAACTCATCGTTTTTTATGGCTACACAGTATTCCATGGTGTATATGTGACACATTTTCCTTGTCCAGTCTATCATCTACGGGCATTTGGGTTGGTTCCAGATCTTTGCTATTACAAACAGTGCCACAATTAACATATATGTGCATGTATCTTTATAATAGAACAATTTATAATCCTTTGGATATATACCCAGTAATGGGATTGCTGGGTCAAATGGAATTTCTATTTCTAGGTTCTTGAGGAATCCCTACACTGTCTTCCACAATAGTTGAACTAATTTATACT